TGCTTTTACTGCTGTGAAAACACCGCGAGCCCCTTGCCGCTGTTGTTTTTGGTGTATCGGCGCTTAGGCTGCCGTTGCACCCTCATTGCAAGCACTTAGAGTGGTGCTTGCGAGCACATATTTTTCTTTGGCAGTTTGTTTGTTTGTTAGAACGACATGTGAAGCTGGTAGACAATGTACTCGCTTGCAGAAGGCTGGGCGGCAGCTCCACAGTGCTGTGCCAGTGGTTTGGTGGCCCGGTGCGACGCCATGAAGAGCGTGATGGCGTGCAAGCTTTCTGAAGTATCGTGTGCACTATTGACAGTCAGAAAGAAGGGAACGTGCACTTAAAGACTGATAAGATGAGATATCTCAGGGTGTTCACAGGACCAGACTTGATTTGTGCCCTAAGCCGCACCAGTGGACAGATACTGCCACGGCCTGAGCATATCACCGAGCATTTACCTTCTGCATTGTCAGGCTCATGGTTTTAAGGGAAAATGCTAGAATTACGGAGGTATATGAAGAGCGGAAAAGTCATACGGATATCAGGGCTCTACCAGCTTCGCGGCCTCTTTTGCTGGTACACTGGAACTTACACGTAGGGTGCCGTAGTAGGGTTGCGGTATGAATTGCCCAGCATTTCAGTTCTCTGCAGCTGTAGAGGATACTAACAACACAAACGGAGAAGTGGTGGTAGTATAGCCAGAGGTTATTCATGAAATGGCAGCAACAGCAACCGGCGCAGCCAGTCATCCTATGGTGCATGTAGGATTATGGCGTGAACAGGAGTAGTAGCAATGCTGTAGCTACTGCTGCCGCTGGAGACACACTTGAGCACGATTTAGTGGCAAAAAAGAGTGCACCGTTAGGTGCCAAGGTTTATATGTTGCGTGGAGAGGTGGTGGACAGCCCTCAAGATCCAGTCACCTCAACATCTGAACTTAAGTAGGGCAGACGACCAAGAGGTATGCATGCATGCGAACATAAGCGTTTAAAGAAGGGCCAAGTACGCTGTAAGTGGTGCAAAGGAAACGCGGCTTTTGCTAGGTACTGCAGCGAGCTCCAAGCCGAACAATTTTACAGAGTGCTGGCGCCGCTAAACCGTGTCAGGGGTCAGCATATTGGTGTCTGCTGCGCTCAGTCCGTGGCAGAGAATTGTTTCCTGAGAGACAATCCTAATTCACTGTAAAGAGTGAACTGCCGTTGCAACTGGCCTCTGGGTATACTCGGTGCTTCGAGTGCTCGCAACAGCCTGCAAAGGAGTTTGCGGTCGTGAAGCGCGCGTCAGTGAACATTTACGGGTGTTCTTACTCCTCTTACTGGAAGTGGCAGCTGCGTCCCTTAAGAAGTGCTTAATTGCAGAAGGCCGCCGCTTGCAGCTGCCTGCAGCTCACAGCTGTTGCTTTTGAAACGGAGACCCTGTACCGTCTGGAAATGTGCTGTTGCTACAACAGAATGGGCACACCGTAGACCGGTCATAAAGTAACATCTCTACAAGTTCGGCGATGCGCATATAGTTACCTTCGGTTCTGCCTATTCATAGCATCTTCAGATCCAGCGGCAATTTTATTGTTTCGTGCTTGTTACCTTTAGTTTAGGACCTACAAACGAAGAGAAGAGTCTAGGGAAGAAAAGAGTTCTCTTAACAAGCAAGGAAATCGGAAAACTGCCTGCAAGGTGTCATTGTTCTACGCCACGCGCCGACCCGGGATCGAACCAGGGACCTTTAGATCTTCAGTCTAACGCTCTCCCAACTGAGCTATCGGCGCCTGGTATATTTGCCAGAGAAGCAGACCACAAACCGCATCGTATGCAGATGGGGCGGTCCACCAGCAGCTCGCCCCACTTTAGGCTCCACGTGTAATATCTTTCGCGCAGCAGCAACTGCGACAATACCGTCAAATTCCAAGGTAATGCTGCTCTGTCTCAGCTCTGTCTTCCTTCAACTTTATCAACTTTCAAACTGCGTGCATGAGCACCAGGCATTTTGCGGTGGAGTTACCTTGGTTTTGGTATCAGCGTACCAACAGAACTCGGACTCCGCCCACGCTGCTCCACCAAGTGGGGGTCGTCAATTGACACCCACTGTTGAGGCGGAACTATGGACTTTGCTCTAGGTAGGAACAACTGTAAATCAAAAAGTATATTTGAGAAGTGCTCTGTCCGGTGCAGTAGCTCGGAACCTCAGCCAGCGAAGGTCTCTGGTGTACGACCGGCCTGCAAAGACCGACAGCCACGCTCTAGCATTTGCCATTCCTACACATCGCAGAAATTTAGTTTTTCTGATTCACAGAGGTGTGTCGGCTCTGAATTTGGCGCTGAACTCTAAATGGAATGGGCATAAACTAGGTACTGTATCGGTTCCCTTCACACCCGTAGCAGTTGCACCGAAGCGATAGTTCCTCACTCCACTATTTATACTTATGTTGTTCTCGCCTGTATTGTTCACAGTCTCAAAAATCCCCGTTATTTTGATATTCGTGATGTACGTTTCGCTTTTTCGGGCGACAGCGTAGATACCCCGGGGAGCAGTGGCCTACTCTCTCCACACAATTAGCAGGTATGAAACACACAAAAAAGTTCAATGCTCTGAAAAGAAATCGTTTTAAACGATATAAGGAATCTATCATTTGGAAGTCATTTGGTTTGGCGATGAGGGGCTGTGGGGCCCGCCTCCCCGACCCTCGGCACGTGTGCAAGACCGCGCTAACAAGCTTTTAGTGCAGCGTTTGCTCTTCACATCCGTGTAGAGGCATCTCCTCGTGATGCTTTCTTCTCGAGCCTGTGGGCAAAACCCTAAACATATTGCGCAATCGACTGTGCGTGTGCCGTGGCAGTGCATGTGCGAACAGAGCTGTTGCGGCAGGTCCGCTAGCCTTGGGGTGTCAGGACAGTATTCAAAACGGCCCAAGGAAGATTGTGTCACTTGTTGGGCGGTGGTTCTATTTTAATGGGTTTGCCCGCCTTAGTGTAACCCATTGAGCCCTGCGCACGGATGTCTCTGCGGGGCTCAAACGAGGCGTCCACCAGCACTGAGGCTGAGATACCTCAGCAACTCTCAGTAGCTGCGGGTTCGCTCCCGGCCTCTTTTTAGCTTCCTGCGGGGCGTTCGTGACGTAAGGATCTTTGGGGCCAGTTCGATACACTTTAGGGGTCGCGTCCAAGGTTTGCATTGTGGTGCTGCTTGTCATGTAGGTGAGCTTTTGTTTGCACCCGTGTTTTTAGTGTCGCAGGAAATGTTTTTAGTGTCTCAGGCTCAGACAAGGCATCTTTAACTTTGCTGCCTTTGAACAGGTGGAGTTTTGGATTGAGTAATTGGGCGTGCAGGTGGTACTTGTCAATCTTGTATTTTCGCATTACCTTTCGTGTACTCTGCCTAGATGGTTTGTGCTGTACATTGTATGTTTTATGTCTGTGTGCGACGAAGAAATGGGTGCAGGTATGTCTTCAATTGGACCAAATGCTCTTTTAGAGACCCGTGTCAGGCATTTCGGTGCCAACAATACCGCTGAAGATAGCACTGCGTTCGCTTTTCCCAGCCGACGAATCCACCAGCTGTTACTTTTCTTCTGGCGGTGCGTTTCTTGAGGTTGTGTATACCCATGTCACTTGCTGCTGGGTGCAGAGGAAGGTACCAAGAGGTTACAATCGCAGGGCTGCGCAGCCAAGGACTCTTCACCCATTACATTATTCCTCACTTAGTTGTAATTCGTGCGTGCACTTGCGTTTTTCTATGTTATACGTCTTCGTTTGTGTGTGCGCACTTCTACTGAGGCGTATACGTGTTAGCGTACCTCGTCTGGGCGTTCGAGCGATGCCGACTGGTGGGCGTAATGTCGATGTAGCCTTGCCGTGTTGGGCTGTTGCGTTGCTATGTAAGCTTTGTCAAACGGTGGGCGCGGTGTTGGTGGTGTAGCATTGCCGTGTCGAGCTAACTGCATTAAGCGCCCTTCGAGCATTTTTGAGACTTGTGCTTCACTTCTGTTGCTGATTACTGCTGGGCATTCGCAAATATGACTCCCTATAGGACGGCTGCGCTAGTACGGAAACTAGCCGAGGCTGAGTAGGTCTTGTTCTTCACACACAGGCACCGTACATTAGACTCGAGCGTCCACAGGTAACACTGAGACCGTATGGTGATTATTCTTTTTTCGTAGGCAAAAGGCGTTGACCTGTCTCTGACCCGCGGAGTGCACATGGTGACTGGTGACGTTTCGAAGTAGCTAGGAAACCGAATAAGGAGGTGAAGGGCCTAAAGACCTTTCACTAGCATATCTGATAGAGTAGGCAACTTCTTGTGAGAAGTAGACGCTGCATCCCTATGTAGCAGCCAGTAGGGAAGATCTCGAAGTGCCCCCAGTCGGCTGGCGGCCTCACGATTGTTGGACCTCACCAGAGGTTGGATAGGTTACGCATTCGCCACAAGTTGCCAATAAAACAATATTGCAAATTGAAATAATGCAGACGATTTCTTCTTACGTTATACTTTAAAGATAGATAAATGCTAAGTGGACACTGAGAACTTCAGGGGGGAATCGAGGTGGTCCGGTCAAGCAGGCTAGTCAGGAATTTCAGTTGCTCGGCCGTTGGGTTCTTCTGACAAATATTAGGCTACTTCTTTTAATACTTTCATTAGTCGGTGAATATACGCTCTTAAAAACTTACTGGAAGGCTGGTGGGCTCCTGGACTCAAACACACTATATCTGCGGCCTCGGCAGAGTAGGGCCGCTGTAGTCAATGTCTTGCGGCTCGTGGCGACTGCATGGAAAGCGTCCCCTCTTCAGATAAGCTTATATGGACTGTGAAGGAGGCTATTGGGCATTTTTGAGTCTGTATCCATCTGGAAGGTTTAAACGTTACAGACCACCGTCGGCGGCAATAACAGAGCTTGCGCCCATCCTGAGAGCTAACTACAAGGAAAGTTCTCACTGCACTGCGCCCCAGCAGCTTCTTTTCTCTATTGAGCTCATCTGTAGGATGCCTCCAGCGGCTTTCACAGAAGGTTTCTCGAGTAACAATGACGTACACCGACGACCGCAGCAGGGCGTCTCCGCATGCAGAGTTCAGGCGGCACCCTCAAGTCATAGAAACTAGTAAGAGACTTGTTCCAGTAATCTATTAAAGGCAAACCTCTGATGAGCCTCCGGTTCTGCAGGGAAGCAAACGGGGTGTGACTGGATTGTGTGGCAGCTCACCGCTTTGCAAGCAGGTGCAGCGGCAGTTGTATGCTTGAGTTGCCATGTGTTGTTGGGGGAATACTGCGGGGAACACACTATTCATTAGCCTTCGTCGTTTCCGGATTGTTCTGTGCGTTTTTTTATCTCTTCATTCTAAGTGCTGGATGACCTGGAGGACAAAGTGCGCCACTACTTCCTGTTGTATGTCAAGGAGAGAAAGCGACGACAAAAATGCGAAAAATTTAGCTACTGGATGCAGCAAGGTGAGCATCTGAAGCTTCAAGTAATCCTATTCTCCTGCTGCTCCAGCTGTGATGGCTTTTGCGACTCCAACGATCCAGCTGCTGCACGGCAGTCGGCATTGCCAGGGCAGCAGGATAGGACGGCTTTCGTAAGGGTGCCCCGCATACGTGGGAATTTGTCTGGTGTTGGGACACAGAGATGGCGACTAATCGGCGACTGCTGATGGAGAGCCAGAGCTACGCGGAGTCGCTAGAAGCAAAAATAGAGGAAATCCGAGGCGACCCGGAAGCTCTGCGTGACACGGTGCAGAGGGTGGATCTAATGTATGCCCAAATAGACACTTTGATTCAGGCCTTCGCAGGTAAGCCGCAGGCTGTAGGCGTCCCCCTTGTGTCGGCCATTCACCACAGCAGGTGCTACAAGCAGCAGAAACTGGAAAATGCAGGCAGGCAGTACTTGTGTAAGCATCATCAGCGCACTAGGGCGTTTGTGCTGGACAAGGACTATACACAAGGCCCCGTCTGCAATACGTTTTTCCTCTGTTTTTACAAAATCGCCTTTGACCTGTTTTCTTCCGCAAGATCCTGTGTGTGATTGGGGCTTCCATAGGGGTGTGCAGTTTTGTGGCAACAAAGGAGGCGGATAGGCCGACTATCCTTCAGTGCGTTCTCGACTACCTTTACCCTTGTAGAGCTCTCGACCCTCGACTTAACGGTAAATTCAACCAATCCAACGTTTCTGCTATCGGTTCTCCAACTACTGTTGGTGCTGCAGCTGCCACTGTAGCTTCTGTTGCTGCTTCTGTTGGTTTTGCCTTTCCCTGCCAATGTTTCTTTTGCTTAGCAAAGCCATTTGTGATAAATAAATCTGGCACGAACATGATTAAGGTGTATCCGGAGAACCTCAGTAGTGAGGTTTGAGTGCGCTTCCGTCAGCGCCGACCCTCCTGTGTTTTTTGGCGCGTCGAGCCCGAATGTTTCCCTGCAGTTTCCCTTGTCATGTTTCCTGCAGCTTTCCCTAGAGAGGTTTTTTGTGCCAATATATAAATATGCGTGTCTCGTTTATCTCTTAGGGCAGTATCCATACTACTTTGAAGAGGACTCTGTCTAAATGGCCGGGGCCGACTTAGATGTATCGATTTGAGTAGAGAAAACGAATTGTTTGGCATAGTTGGCGACGGTTGTGAAATGATGTGCTACTTGTCAGTTGTTTGGAGTGTTGCTTCCGCTGCTGTGACTGCTATGGTTGCTTTACTGCTGCTGTTCCAGCTCTTTACGGCGCTCTGTACTACTACCGGCTGGGCGAATATAAAGGGATGCCTGAGCAGCCTCCACCCCCCCCCGAGCCAAAGTTCATGCCATTGCATGAAATTATGGGCCCCTGGATCCAGCCTTCGCCCTACACTCCGACCCCTACGCCTCCTGTGCACGCAACGAAGTTCGATGCAGCACTTGCGGCTACTCTCGAGGCTGCCAAAGCCGCTGAGGGGGCCAAGGCTGACGTGCAGCAAACAGCCAAGAAAACTACGGTGGAAATACAAAAACCGAAAGAGGCCCGCTTGTTGGCAACGAGTGAGTTGAACAAATGCTTGCAGGCCAATAGGGAAGTAGTGGGCAGGCGCTAGGCATGCAAAACCTCTGAAGTGTACGTCGACTCGTTGATAGTGAGACTGTGGAGAACCGTACATATTTGAGCGAGCAAGACGAAGTGTTTTAATCGTGCAGAAACGGCAACGGGGACTGGCGTAGCGAAAGCCGCATCAACTGAACCCCGGGCCAAGGCTTCGTTGCCCAAACAAGCAGAGGATGCCTCTGCCGATGTTGAGCTGACGGGAATGTCTATCTTGCTAGAGGAGTTGAGTGCCTTCAAGCGACCTTCATTGTCTAGGGGAGTAGGTGCCAGGCTGGTAGTTAGGTGAGTACTTCTAGTTTCTCTCATTCACGCCGCTGTGCCTCATGGTGTCGTTTAGACCATTACTTTACGTGAACCTTCACGTAACATTGTATTTGCCGTACGGATCGAGGGAAGGCTACAGCATTTTTGAGGTTGTAATTGTTTAACCCGTGCGTTATCATTTTTCTGAGCATGAAGCCTCGTCTTTGCATGCTCTGCAAACCAATGATCGACGATGTGCCGGCGCCGGCAAACAGGCTTGGCCCGGCGTTTGCTCGGCTCTCTATGGGGTTATTCGGGACTTTTCGTGTATTATTCTTCGCAGATTTGATAGCGAAAGCCCCATGGAAACAAAGAAAAAGCCAGAGCGCTGCGTGATAGTAGACAAGGTAGGCAAACCTGACGTCTCCTACATAGAAATGGCAACCACGTGATTCTGTTTCATCTTCGTGGGGAATTTAAAATGCGTGACTGCTTTCAGTGTGACGGGACACCAGGGAGTGAGAGTGCTACCGTGTACTTCCTAGCCAGTCTGTCGCCGTTGCCTGCGAAGAAGCCCGGTGTCGTTCCAAAGATATGCATTGATATCTACGACGAGAAATCGGTGAGCATAGAGACAGCCAGAGCCCATCCGCGAAGGTCAAAGGGCCAACCATTAGTAGAGGGATGGCTGGGTATGCCACCTCCAAGGTTCATGTGGGTCGTTTCTGTTGCATGTGGAATGCAGAGTAACATAGAATCTGAAATTCATTTCTTGATTGATTTAGACTCATCTGGAGGACCGAGTTCTTGCACAAATGAGCTTTGCAGCTTGATGACTTGTCAGTTGGTGTATTTCGAGTCTTGTGTGTCGCATCCATCTGGCGTTGCCTTGTTCTGCAGCCAACGGGTCTAGGAAGCGCTCAAAAGACGATTATGGACGCAGACACGTTAAAGAAGAGTGCCCCATGGTGTTTCTCTAGCTCACATCGTCCCGATGCTTCTGTTTTGGCTTACGCCCTCTTCTAGCCCACAGCAGTGTGGCGTAGGCTTCTGCGATGCGGGACATTCAACTGTATGCCCTATATCTGTGCTGTTTCGCTGCGCTCAGGCAAATAAAAGACAGCAAAGGGTCTGTACTCGGTGAGTTAATGTAGGAATTCAGTTGTACTTGAGAGGGCTAACCAAGACCGACTGGCTGCAGATGCGCTAACCACCACTTTATAGAGATATCCCAGTGTGTTGTTCTTTGTATGCTGACAGGCCAAATAACTGTTTCCGTTGCTCCTATACCTCTGTAAGTCAAAACCGGCGTGTTGTTGGTGGTGTGATGAGGCCGTTGGTTGGATATAATGTGGAGTTTAAACAAGCTTTGCCCGCTTTGTTTCTCTTCTCCTACTGTCTAGACACTCTTAAGGCTACATATCAGAGTAGCGGAAACGTGACTTTCATATTCTTGTGCTGCGCATGCTGTGTGCTTTGTGAAAGTAACTTTCGTATTTTTGTGCTGGGCATGCTGTGTGTTTTGTGATATTGCAGCAATGCGATGCTGCCAGCTCAAGTCAAGCAAGGTGGAGATAAGGCTGCTGGGGGTGGGTGAAGCTGTTGCTGCATAACTATGTTCAGAGCTTGTGTTTGCAAGCCGTTGCAGCCCGCGCTAAAGCTGTGCCGTTTCGTGATCAGAAAATGATTTGTGATTTGTTCTAGTGCGGCGTGTTTCCTGCCAAGAATAGGTATATCCTTAGGATCTCGACGTGCAGCTGCTTAGCATGTTGGCCAGATGCCAAGGCTTTTGAAAAGAATTTTGTCAAGCACCGTGTACATACTGGAAAACTTGAATTCCCCGGTCGCTTTTGGTGTGCAGGAGACGCGGCAACGAAAACGGCAAAGGCTGGGGAGGCCTCTAAGTCCGTGGTAGCGAAATCCGGAGGAACTGTAACCAAGCCTGAGCTTCCAAAGCCCTCAGCTGCAGTCTCAAAGCCAGCGCTACCCAAAGTTGGCGGTGCTAAACCTGAGCTTCCCAAGCCAAGTGCGCCTGCCAGCAAGCCAGAGCTACCAAAGGCCGGTTCACCTGCCTCAAAGCCTGACTTGCCTAAGCCCGCTGTGCCTGCTACGAAGCCTGAACTACCTAAAGCAGAACTCTCTTCAAAGTCAGAAATCACGAAACCTGGACTACCTGCCAAGCCAGATCTTTCGAAACCTGTATTGGGAGCGAAGCCAGACCTTCCGAAGCCTAAAGTAGGAGCCAAGCCAGAACTCCCGAAACCTGCACTCGGAGCAAAGCCCGAACTTCCGAAGCCAGGGGGCGTAGGCGCGAAACCAGACCCTCCAAAACCTGGAGCTGCAGACGCTAAAAAGACTGAGCCTCCGAAGCCAGGTGCCCCGCTTGGTAAGACAGAAGGAACTAAGGCTGCGGAACCTCCAAAACCAGGTCTTCCAAAACCGGGAGCTGCTGCAGAGAAACCAGGACCTCCAAAGCCCCCTGAGGCAGCTCCAGGCGCAACAGGAAAGGTGACAGGGGCGAAGGCAGATCTAAGCAAGCCAGGACTCCCCAATCCCAAGTCCGCCTCACCTTCGGCTGGGCCTGCAGGTAAACTCGGCCCGCCAAAGCCAGCAGACGAAAGCCCTGGACCTAAGGGAACTCCTGCTGCCCCTACTAAAGCGGGAGACCCAACAGCGAAAGATGCCAAAGCAGGTGGACCAGTAGCTCCTCCCGGGAAGGACGCCAAGCTGCCAAGTGTCCCTCCAGCCAATGGTAAACCAGCTCTGCCTGCCAAAGGACCACTCTCAGCTAAGCCCGCAGTAGAGCCTCCTGGTGTGAAAGCAGATGCAAAAAAGGCCCTTCCAAGCAAGGCAGGAGAAACACCTAAGCCTGTATTGGGTGCCAAGCCAGATTTGGCGAAGCCATTGCTACCAAAGCCTGGCCTTGCAAAGCCTGAACTAGGAGCAAAGCCCGCCGTAGCCAAACCCACCCTAGCTGCGAAACCCGTAATGGCCAAGCCAGACTTAGCCAAGCCAGTACTACCAGCCAAACCAGCGGAGGCTAAGCCAGCTTTAGCTGCTAAGCCTGGGCTAGCGAAGCCTGGCCTAGCCAAACCAGTAATCCCGGCTAAGCCAATGCTAGCTCTAGCAAAGGGGGCGCCAACAGCAAAGCCTGCTCTGGGTGCTAAGCCTGCACTCGCTCCTAAGCCTGGGTTGTCCAAACCAGGGCTGCCTCCTGCAAAGAATGGCATAGGGAAAGCTGCATGATTGCACTCTCTGAAGCAGCAAGGACTATGTGCCTTTAATGGAGAGAAGAAGGGGCACGATCTGCTGGTGGCGTGCGTGACGACATTGTCCCTAAGGAGCATGTGAGTACATCCAGGGATGACTACCCAAACGGGAGCTCCTTCGTGGAAGTCGTTCTGCATGACTTCATGCTGCACCGCGTAGTATGTACAGTGCGCGCCTGACTACGGTGGGGCTTGTAGCGTACGAAGTACTCTGAATACTTTATATTGAGGCGGAGGCGCCTGGTGAATGGGAGTGGCATGGCATCTTCCTGCTGACGAAGGACCAAAGGAAATGATGTCTTTTAAGAAAAGATTCCTCGCTTATCCAAAAAAGGTGAGGCCAAGCGCTGCACCAGATCCCTGGGAGATATGCAATGAAACGTCGCAGATAGGCCATGGCCATTTCAATTCCACTGTTGCATTGTTGGATGACTGCTTGCGCGTTATGTTTGACGCAAGTTGCTTTTCGACAGAACAATGCAGTGCAAGTCCAAACGAGCTGTGCCGCGTTGCGTCGTTTCTGACTTTCCTAAGCAGAACTGCTGCGAGTAGCCTTCACAACGGCAAGTTGTCTGCAGCCTGTGTACCTTTAGCTACTGCCCAAACCAACAGATTCTACGCAGGTTGCAGTACTAGGCATATCGGTCTTGCTTTACGGAGGAAGTAGTTAAAATAAACACCCGCAGGGCTCAGGAGAACAATAAGATACTCATCAGCTGGCTTAGTTCAGTTGCTTTCAGTTGCTGTGGGTGCCGAGGACGCTGCGTCAACGACAGTCAAAGGAGGCACACCATCTGCGCACTTGCGTTGTCGCTGGGCGAGGTCGAGTTTTGAAGGGCTCACATGTTGCTTCAGCATCATTTCTTGCAAGATTGGCATGGCTCGAGCATAACGGCTCGGGAAGCTGCAGTAGACTGGCACCAACAGCAGAACAATAAAACAGAAAATACATGCTAGCGGGAACCCTAAACTGATGAAAATTATGAGCGGGGAGGGATACACAACGTAGACTGTGGGCCAGTCCATTGGTAGTAAAATAGAGCTAGCAAGACACATTGTGCAACAAACGATCAGGGGCAAGACAGAAAGATATATCAGTAGGTTTGCAAGCTTGTGAGGATTCAGTGTGTTCCCTGCTCCTGAATCTGCACCGCGGGTCTTCGTCAGCAGCGTTTCGCACAGATAGACGATAGGAAAGCAGAGGAAATCCAAAGTCCTCAGAAAACCGGCCACAAGTTTATTCGTCATACGCAGAAAGGGAGGGCACGCGCCTCCCGAGCGAGGCAGTAACGTTGGCGTCTGCGTTGCTGTTCCTTTCTCCGCTTCTTTGGTGAAGTCTTTATTAGCGTCGTCTGCATTCCAGCGCGTAGAGCGGCACGCTTCAGCAACTGCGCTGGCGTAAGGCCGAAAGAAACCCACGGTGGCAAAAAACACGCCCAGCAGCAAGGAGGATGGGAACGCCTCCAGAGGAGCTCCCAACAGCTGGAAAATTGAGCCCGTCACCAGGATCCACAGCGAAAACAGAGTCAAAACTACGCGCAGGCACACGTAGTAGCTGCCTGGGAACTCGGAAGGCACTACAAGTGCACAGGCAGCCGCAGATAGGCGAGTCACATGAGCTGACGCCCGCATCGGCGCCTTACCCATACACCATAAAAGAACCAAAGTTTTCGAAACGATCGCGCCAAGACCACAAACACAGGCTAGCACTGTCACGTACAACATGCTTGGCCGTGGCAGGTCAACATCATCCGACCGGACGTCATCCGACGCCTCTTGGTACCAAGGAGGCCTCAAATGCGCCAGCAGCGCAAGATTGCAACATGCCAGAAGCACATCTGTCGCTGCCAATGCCAGATGCTCCACCAGAGGAGACGCTGTAACGCAACGGCAGCAACTCCACTCCTGCCCGTCTATGCCCAGCCAGCTGCGCTGGACAGGAGACCGCGTGTAGGCTCTACCTCCACATCCTGCATCAACGGGTCTACGGCTAGACCCCAGGCCAGGTCTGTCTAGTTCCATGGCCTAGGATGCGGGCTTCGCGATGCCGGAGGTGCCACGGCACCGGCTCATAAATAACGAGGGCTGACGTCTTTCCAGCCCCCAGACAGGGTAAGTCAAGATGTATTGGATACGGCAATTAGCAGATCCACGTACGCTAGAGGGCACAAAGCCTCAACATGGGAGGCTGTGTCGGCCGTGCAGTGCCAGCCTGGTTCTCTCATAGGTAGCGGGTGCCAGTGTGTCCTTCAAGCCGATCCGAGAACGGACCGATCCAGCAAATATTTCAGATAAATAAAAAGGTATGTGTCTCACCGTAAAACAAACCAACGCAAGCAACACGCCGCCCGTTGATGGTCTCGCTGCATTACTGCTGGCTCACCAAGCGAGCAGTTCTCGTGCAGCTTACACGGCTTAACTACTTTATCGGTTAAGTATAAAAAGGCCAATGTGCAGTATTTGAGGCAAGCAAAGAATCATGTAGTTGCCACACTCGGCGTTTTATTCATTATGGCCGGCGTGTCTGCCGCTTCCGTTTCGAGCAGCTACTCAAAAGGCTCTCTGCCTTCGAAGCTGAAGGCGCTCCCTATCCATCCAGCCACTGGTAATGATACGAAGCAAAAACAGTTCCAAAACCTAAGCACTATACAGGATTCGTGTTGAGTGTCCATGTTCGCGCCCACATAACCAACGAGCCCTGTCTAACGCGGCTGGCTGCTGGCAACACCTGAACTAAGCAGAAGTCCAACTTGAAGAGACAAAATCCCCGGGGATGCCTGTTACGGCATGGTACCTATCTACAGCGCATGGTCAGGACAGGCTTGCAGTTATGTGTTTTCTGGATCGGCGTCGAGCACAGTATACACACGAACGTACGGTTGTGTGGACTCTGTGAGGAAGTACGCGCCAACAGCCTCTCGTTAAATTGAAACTGTAACAAATTCACTGAAGTATAATCTTCGCTAGACTCTCCCGGCAAAATCCAACACTTTTTACGTAAAAGCTATCAAACGTCAAGCTTGGGTTTGGAGGGCGGCTGTCAGGATCGCCAGAAGTTCGCGGCGCATCAAAAGCAACAACATTATAAAGTCGCTTACCAAAAAACAAGGCTGCTCGCAGCTGTGCAGTGGGATGTGGCATTTTTTAGAGAGTACGAGCCACTAGTTACCAGCTGTCGTGGGCTCTGTTCGTAGCTGCGGTACAATGTGTTTGCTCGTGTGTAGTCAGTATCGATTTGTACATAACAGGATCTTTGCATGGCAAAGGACAGGAGGAAAGGTGCTAATGCCTTTCTAGTCAGATTTGAGCTCCCGCGCATCTGCGTGCTGCTTGTGGTGCGCTCAGTTGACAATCTCCGTCAAAGTCTCTTGAAAGCACCAAAAAAGCCTAAAAGCTAGAGCTGCAGCTCAGGTTCATGCTTGATGACGCTCTGTAAAGTCCGCAAGTAATTAAAAATGTACAGGCTGGGTGCTACCGGAGCGTGATCAAACGGGCAGCGGCTCGTGAATGCCACTGGCCGGCATTCTTTGCGGCAGTAAGATCAATGCTCACACATGTGAGCTCGTCGAACAGCAGCATTACTGTTCGCCTTTGCCGGTGGGACGTGTCAAGACAAACCAGAAAGCGAAGAGCTCCAGGTTCTCAAGTGGGCAACTAAACCCTCGAAAATGTTGCGTAGGAAGCCATAGTGGCCCCTGAAGTTCCAAATATCTCAACAAATTCCTGGCACCGCTCCTGATTATGAATTTTGAGTAGCGCTTTCCATCCTATTGAATGAGCTCGTTAAGCACCACCACTTTTCCCCCCTTCGCAACACTGCCATGCACAGCTGCATGACTACGTTGGGCAAGGCTAAGCTGCTGAAAGACCAGTTTTCCTATGCCTGGCAACGCTCAAAAAACAAGGGCGACCTTCGTTGAGTGCCACTGTGGTCTTGTATGGAGCACAGGTAAGCTGGTACCCGGAAATATCTTAAGAATAAGTTGCTTGTCATGAGGAAGCACACACGAATCGGTGCTGTTTGCTGCGAAATCTAGTACTACACCCACATTTCCGTAATGAGGATGTACTGTGACGATGCCGTGGACTCCGGGGTAGCTTCCGTTTGGGACGGCTCACTTGCTACCCCTCACTTGGGGTCCCGTGCTAGCGAGGAGAGCAGCAAGCCGAGCTTCTCCCACAGTGCTGTATCTTGGCATACATCTACAAAGGCCTGGACAATATGCGGTGGCAATTAACTGCCGCAGAAATGTAATGTTGTGAGGAAAGGCCGATGACCCCTTTGAAAATAGGGCCTTCGTTGGACTGGCCCTTGCTTGGAGTAAGGGCTACTGCGCGAAAGGTAAAACCAAAAACAGCAAGGCGTCACAGGTGGTGTTTCTGTGCCGTAGGAGACAGAAAGTCGAAAAAAAGAGGATACGAGCTGCTTTGCAGCATCCCCGTATGACTGTTGGGACATCTGTCCTCTACACATCAAAATAGCACATTGTGAGTACTGACGTCCCTTTGTTGTAGGAATTTTTCAGGAATAAAGAACAAAGAAGCCATCGTTCGCAGGCACCTTTTCCAAATTTCCAGCAGCAGCTTAGAGAAAGCTTATCTTTGCTTTGCGATAGTCGCGCAAACCACCGTCGGCACCTCGCAGAAGCTGTGACGGCAAACATCCTGTATTCTCTCTTCAAGGATGTTGCCACTGTGTCAAATAAACCCGAAAAAAAGCATCTTCATCGCTTAATTCGCGTGATATTGATTGCATGCGCAGCCCATTGGGGCCCCCTGTAGCAGATACCCAGAGGCTTTGGCCGCTAGAGGAGTCAAGGCCTTTTCTTCCTCTTCACGCGGTTTGACAACCAACCACGGAAGTGCTGCTGGACGGCGAGAGGGTAACATTTCGCCAGAAAAGTTTGCAGGAACGCTTTGCCTGAGCGGCTCTGCCTTTTCAGGGGCGCCTGCACCGCGTGCCCTCGCCTCCTCTTTGGGCCTGCACAGCGTCAGAGGGCTAGCCAGAGCCCATGGGCTGGCTTGAGAGTCGCAATGGGAAGGGCGTGCTGATCCGGCCGCCGCTTCATCGTGCTCGACTAGAGCAATCCCCCTTACACTTGTGGAAGGCAATAGAGGAACGTCTGCTCTCATCTGCTGCGCCGTTGAATGGCGGCTGTCCATGGCGTTGCTAAATTCACATGCGTAGCCCGCGCCGGAGAGGAGTTCCTCCCCAAGAGATGTCTCAAGTTGACCCGTTTGCTGGCCTAAGAAGGGACGAAACTGAAGAAAGCTCTCAGAGTTTTTTGGAGTACCTTCAAATGGTTGAAGTAGAGTCATGGGTGTGGCCACTGCATTTCCGCAAGCAGAATACGGGCTGGATGGTGGGACACCGCCTGATGGGCCTAAATGCATGTGCTGCAAAAATTCGCCTTGCGGCAAACCCAGATCCGGCTCGTGAAGGTTTCGGTTGGTGGGAAGAGCAACCAGCTGAGCTCCTTCAGATGAATGAGAGACACCCGAGGAGACGACTGAACCTCTGTCTTCGGCAGGAGCATTGAACGGCTGACAGCAGAAATAGTTTGTAGCGTAGTGTCCGTTTGAAGTCTTTGAATGCGAAGCTCCGGCCACTGTCGTGGTCCCTTCGTTGACGTTCCAACTCGCCACAGGCAGGGCTTCGTCGGTCGCAGTCGTCACAGCTGAAAAGAACCCAGTGCTACCTTCGTGAGAGAAGGGCGACTTCTCCTTAGGAGACGGCCGCTGGTACATGGGGCTGTCACCCGTAGTAAACACTCCTCTACAAGGCATCAGTGGAAGCCGCAGTTCAGGGGGGCGATTGGTCAGGGTCTCTCCCCCCCCCGGCTCCGTCAACGACCCCCACTGTGCTATCGCTTCAGCCCCACCGCGTAGTTGCTGGCCGCAAGTCTCTTCTTCTGGAGGCTCCGCCGATGCTCGCTCAACAGCTGACCCCTGAATCCACGAGCGAGAATCTACGGGACCCTCGGGGGCATATGCTGCTCCTGGGGCAGATACAGGGAGTCCTGGGGGGAGTTGGGCTCCATCCTGCTGTAAGGGGCTTCCGTGAGAGAAGTACGGTCGTACAACACCATTGCTCTGACACTCTACTGCTGCGCCAGGCAGTGGTACTCTGGAAAGGTCGTTGGTGGCGTCGGGGCGAGACGCTTTGCTAGAAGTGGGGGCTCGCCGACGGACGGGTTGTGCAGTGGGGGATTTGGGACGCGGCGGTTGCTCAGTCTTCGAAGAAACTGTGCTCTGTTCCTTCTTACAGGCCCACTTGCTTGAGCTGTTGCTTCTTACTAGCCAGGCTGAATCGCGCAGACCACACGCAGATCGTGGCAAGGAATGAGGAACTAGACCATCGGCATTTATTGATGTGGAATCGGAAAGTTGTAGGCGGCTTGGTCTCTGTAAAAGTGGCTTTGATATGCCTCTGGTGAGCTCCAGCTGAAAATATACTGTGAGCTTACCGGGTTCGTCTTCAGAGAGGCCCTCTCCGTCACTGTCGTGAAGTTGGCGTCCCTTGTCAATCACTTGTCTCAGAAAGGATCTCGCCAGCTCAAACTGAGATTTCATGTCTTTTTCATCCTGACGAAACACAAAAGCTCAAAAAATGACGCTCCAGATGCATCGCTCTGCTTGTATTCAGTAAGTACACTCTGACACATTAAGCCTGCATGTTTGTAACATCCCTCGCTTCTCTGGGTCCTACCCCTGGACTGTATGGAAAAAGCTTCATGGCTTCCTCTTGTTCTCCTCGGTACTTCACTTTCCACAATCCCTGCTGGAAGTAAATGCCACGCACGCCACTAAATGGTTTCTTGCCCACATTAAATCGCTTGGCACGCCCTCCTTTTGGCCGGCTGATCTTTTTAAGCTGTTCCAGCTCCTCAAACCATGGATTAGTGCCATCTGTTCCGTTGGCTTCAGAATCTCTGGGACACAATTCTGCAGCTTTCGCCTGTAGCTCATCTTGGAGAATTCCGGGTCGTGTTCCTACTTCTTGGGAAAGTGGAGGGCCATGC